AGCTTAAGTGTTCAGTGGACTGGAAATACAGCTCAGTAGTAGAGTGCTTGCCAATAATGTATAAGGCCCTGCATTCAATACCTGGTCTCTCTCTTATCTCCTCTCTCTCTCTCTCTCTCTCTCTCTCTCTCTCTCTTTCACACACACACACACACACACACACACACACACACACACACACACACACACACACAGTGTTAAGTGTTGTCCAAGTGGTGGATCCAGTCATCTCAACACAGACTAACAAAACTGATCAACTTGCCGAATGAAATCTCCATCCCTTACACATCTACATTGTGATTTACAAGACTTTACATCTATTTTGCAGACTTAAAAACTTTTCTCTGTCACCAGAATAATATTTGTATAGCACTAAGTCACATCTGTAAGCCACTGTGTACCCGGATTCTAAGGAACTGTGACTGATGAGACCCCCTGCTGCCAGCTAGCTGTTCTCATTCTCCTTCTGTCCTTAGCTTATCAAATCCAAAGACTCCTCTGCACTTTTCTGAGAAGAAACCTGGCTTCTTTTCTCCCTCAAGATTCCATCTATCACCTCTAGTGAAATAACTCCCAGATTCACAACCTCATCCTGACCTCCTTCCAGAGCTGTGTGACTCATATCCCTAACTGCCAGACATCTGCACCTCCTTATCCCTCTGACACCTCAAACTTGGTTTGAAATAAAATTTATTTTATGGTCCCTTAAGATGGTCCCTCTGGACTTTCTTTTTGGTCAAGGGTATCACTCTTGTGTCTGATAACTGACCCAGGAGTGATACATTATATGTGTTATTGTATACATTCAGCAAGCATCTATTGAGAACCTACTGTGTGGACAGCACTCTGCTTACAAAGTGGAGAGGTTACAAACCAGGATCAAGCACCAAAATAACTCAGGTTCAGGAAAGGGAGATGGATTGCCTGTGTCAGATGGGAAGGAGGAACAAAGCCAGGATGGAAAGAACATGACCAGTTTTGCAAGATTACCCATCTGCAGAAGGTACAACTGCCCTGGGATTCCTGTGTCCTGGGAGCAAACTCTATTCACCACTCTTGACCCTGCCCTGGACTCTACTCTCACTCAGCACATGGCTGAGTGGGGAACACATTCACTCAAGAAATGCTATCTAATTAACTAATAGTGCTTCCATCATATGGATGTTATTTCCAGCAGAAAGGCCAAAGGACTACTGTTGCATTTCAGCACGATGACGGCTATCTCATTTTAGGCACCTTCATTGATCACCTCTGACTGATAATAAAACAGGCACCAACTAGAATTCTCAGTTGCAAATGACAACCACCAGCTTGGGATGGTTTCACAGAAAGGAATTAATCTTTAAAAAAATAGGGAAACTCATAGGATTAATAAAGCCAACAGAGCACTGGAGGTTACAGCTAAGCTCATTACCACAGTCAGGGCCACCGTGAAGATGCCAGTTTGCCCCTTCCTGGAGATGCCATGGTGCTTCCACAATCACACAGGCCCCAGACTGTGGATCCTGCTGCTGCAGGTCAGCTGCCTTGTACTATCTATGGCTCTGCTGGCTGCATCCATCTAAGCTCTTCCTGCCACCTGTCAGAGCATGGCTGATTGGGGTCACATCTTTTGATTGGCTGATCCTAGGTAACATCTTCCCTCTTCCATTGGAAAAAATAAATTCTTGTCTAGCACCAAAGGGAGAATGTAGGAAACAAGGAGTTCAAGTTTGGGGTAGCCACAAGCCACACAGCTGCCTTGCCTACTTCCTTTGAGCTTTCTCTTCTTGGACAGCTGTTTTCTATTCCTCCTAACTCTGAGGCTTGGACCTCTAACTCCCTTACCACTTTGTCATTAATTTCTGGTTCCCAGAATTGGAAATAGTCTCTCAAATTAGGTCTGACAAGTCTGAGGTATGATGGGATTCTTTCATTCCAAATCACAGCCTGTTAACTTACATGCAAGCATCTGAGGGCTTCAGGGCTCCCTTGGCTGCCAAAACTATATGGATGACACATTTTGGCTCATAGTATTCTTGTGGTTGACTGAATTCTCAGATATCTTTATATGAATGGTTGCAAAGCCAGCTCTTCCATCATTTACTTACATATTTGGCTTATTGAACATGTGCAAATTTAGCTGAGTAACCTAAAACTGTATTAGTCATACGTCAACTACTTAGGCCACACCCTTGAATTCCTTTATGTCATATACCAGGAGTATAACCAGAACTGGAGGTCTTAGGGATAATTTAGCCACATATTTATTTTGGTTAACTTTGGGAACAGGCATTTTCATCAGCCATTGATTATCAGGAGATACAAAGAGGCCCCAACTCTCTTTAAAGGCAGGAAGATGTCACACTACTTAGCATCTTTCTTCAGAACAGTGAATGAATGATTGCAGCATAAGAGTGGTTTTCACTTGGGAAGGCACAGATAGCTCATCATAGTCTGCACCATGCCTGTTTGCCTAAACCTAGCTGCTGAACTGTCCCATTAGCCTTTGTGTGAGAGCTGGCTGTGGTGGGTGCTGAAGGACAGAATGGAAACATAGGAAGGCCAGGCACTATGGGGTTCATTAGCTCTGCATTTCCTCTGCTTCACTTTGGTTGTGTAAAAGGGACTCTGAGAACAGAGATGTTCTGGGCTCCCAGAATGGACATCTGTTTTTGCTTTCCCAGATACTACTGCCGGGAACCCATACTTCCTTTTCTGTGGAACTTTTGATGGTGCTGCCAGATTTTATGTCATATCTTGCTGCTGCAGACACTGACTGGTTACTAGCCTGGGCTAGGTGGCAGGATTTTCAAACTTCTAGTCAGGCCACGGCAGTATCATATGCTCATCTTGCTAGTGGCGGATGCTAACTGCACTCTATACTGAAGGACTGTATTTTCTATCATGTGGTACCTGGTGCTGTGTGAAATGAAGGAGGGAGCCACCACATACAAAGGGAGAAGGGCAAAGTTCAGAGAACTGCACCTGCACTAACCTGGCCCAGCTCTGTGAGCCCCTAAGATGCTTCTTATTTTGCTCATTTTAAGGCTTTTCTAAAGTTAGTTTCTCTCTTGCATCCAAAAGTGCCCAGGATGTATCATCAGAGACAACAATGTTCTCTGCCTGAGGGGTGTGCATGCTTGCCTTTTCCCTGGGTCCTGACCAACACTCATAAATCAGGTATTCTGGGACCTCTCATAAATTCTCTTTGTACATTCCTGAGCAAAGGTCTGAGAGCAAAGCTCAGGTGTCCAATCATGCCACCCACTCCTTATTCCCTGTATAAGCTAGGCATACAGTTCTTATATCCTTGCCAGTACTGTTGTAAATAGTGCTTCCTGAAAGGAACTTAGGATATCTGGAATTGGGGTGCCAAACACTGCCCATGACACACTGTCAATCATTCAATGAGTATTTACTGTGCACCCCTCGTGGGAGATACTACACTGCAAAAGACACATTGTGGTCTTTATGTGCTTGGGTTCTGTGGACACAGAAATTAAATCTAATTTAATGGCTTCATAAGAATGTGACTCATTTTCCTTACACGTGAAATGAAGTTAAAAAACAATTATTTCACAGGATTTAAGCATCAGCACATTTTATCCCTAAAAACCAGGAAAAGTGATCACTTAGCTTCACAAACAACAGTACAGCCCAACCAGTAGGAGGGGTGTCTACACCACTTCTGATGTTAGCCCTGGCATCTCCTGGTTGTGCATCATGCAGCCCACTCACTGGACCTTTGCCTGTGCCATGTTCGAGAGTGTTAGAAACACGAAGAGGACACCAGGGGGCAGCACACCGCAAGAAATCTTGGGCGCCGACCGCAGCCCACTGCCAAACTTCCCTGCTGCTCCGGGTTCTCGTACGTACTTCCGTCACTCTGACGCTAGTAGAAACCCGGGCATCGGGAAGGAGCGCAAATCCCCCCTCCTTTGAGCCTCACGAGGAAAATCTGGAGCTGGGTTCACCAGAGCACACCAGAACGGGCACTGAAGTCTCTCACCGCGCCGCCAGCGGCGCGGCGCTCCGCCACAGTGTGCTGGCGCGTGGGCGGTGGCGTCAGTCTGCCATCGGTGATTCTGGAGAGCGCAGCCTGTCTCCCGAAGGAGTGGTCGCGGCCCCCGGAGGAAGGGCTGGCCGCCAGCTCCAGCGCCTTCGCCTCAAGGGACATCCCCACGCCTATACCCACAGCTGTCACTCGTGTGTGCTGGCGGGAGAGGGGACACGAGTCTCCGGAGTCGTTCAGAAGGATGCCTAGGTGTTAGATGCATCCCCAGGCTGCTCTTTAGAGCTGCTAAAGAAAGCAGTCAGGATAATGCGCCCAAACTTTCCTTCGCGGCCGCATTGAGAAGAAACGTCCTTCCTGAAGCTCGCAGAGAATCCAGACTCCGACATCGACAAGGGAAAGGGCCAAGGCTGCGCAGGGGGAAGTTCTCCCGAGCACCAGAGGTGGCCTAAGGGGAGAGCGCTGAGTCAAGAGAGGTGTCCGCTTCCCAGCACCCCAGCAGTGACTGTGACCTGGCGGGTGCTCGCGGCGGGGGAGAAGGTCCAGCCGGACTGGTTGAGCGAGGCGGCGGTGCTTTGGCAGCCCATGAGCGCATGGAGGCGCCCAGGGGGGCTGTGCGGCTCGCCTGCGGCGCGGGGGAGCGTATACGCCGCGCCTTGGCCTCCCGAGGGACCCGGCTGGCCTCTCCCCTCACTTCCTGCTGCTGGGCTCCCGGGAGCCAGCAGCGCAGTGGGACCGGTGTAGCCCGCAGCGGCGACTGGCGCGTGTAAGATTGAGCCCGCTCAACTGCCTGGAGTTAACTAGATGCTCCAGGAACTCAGCAGGCAGGGTCGGGCGGGTCACTTTGCAACATAGAGGCTACCGCCTTGGGCGCTCCGCCGGGGACAGAACCCTGTTTATTGATCTCGGTTGTTCCGACAGGGTACAAACGCTCGCCACCCTGGGCGGGCCAGGCTCTGGCTCCTGGACTTAGGCGGCTCACTGGGCCCGCGCCAGCGCCTCCCCCATGCTGCTCGGAGCGTCGTGGATGTTCGCGTCCAAGGCGGCAGCTACTACAGCTCGGAGAGAGGGAGACGCCAGGCAGGGTGAGGCCCAAGCAAAGACTGCCGAGGATATGGAAGAGTCATCGCTGCTGGACTTGCTGGAATGCTCCGTTTGCCTGGAGCGCCTGGACACCACGGCCAAGGTGTTACCATGCCAGCACACCTTCTGCCGCCGCTGCCTGGAGAGCATCGTGTGCTCGCGCCACGAGCTACGCTGTCCCGAGTGCCGCATCCTGGTGGGCTGCGGTGTGGATGAGCTGCCCGCCAACATACTGCTGGTGCGCCTATTGGATGGCATCCGTCAGAGGCCCCGCCAGGGTGCCAGCCCAGGGAGCAGTCCTCCTGCGTGCCCAAGCCCCAGTACGTTCCCAGCGCTCGCTGGGGTCCCTGGAGGCGCGACCAGCAGTCCCCCGCGTTCTCCGGTCTTTCTTTCAGCAGCGGCAGGCAGCTCCACCTCCGGTTTGTGCGATGTGGCCACTAACAGGAGCGTGCCAGTGGCTAAGGTAAGAATCTACCCCCAATGACATGGCACCACTGTGTGGGAAAGTGTTTGCCTGTGCGCACGTGGATGTACGGGTAATTGTGGTCAGCAATGGAGACGAGCTGTGGCTCTTCGGTGGCCCACTGGTTTATTTTATTCTTCTTTAGCAACTTCTCTGTGTTCAGGAACTCTGTGTAGCTTTCTGTTCCCGCTTAACCAATTCTTGGCTACATCCCACCAAAGCACTTCCTAACCCTTACCCCAAACTTTTTGTGGGCACCTAAGTCACTTTCCAAAAGCATAGAGCACATCTGCCCCCCATGACCTGTTCATATATATGAACCAGACTCTTACAAGGTGGATATGCCTTCTGAACTGCCACTCTCCATCACTTACATTTTGATTAGGCCTGGTATCTGTCTGTCTATCTGTCCATCCATCCTGACTGTGTATCTGTACATCTATCTATCTATCTATCTATCTATCTATCTATCTATCTATCTATCATCTATCATCTATGTCTTTAACTTTCTGTTACCCTTCCAAATCCCCAGAAACAACCATCTTCCCCTACACCTCCAGAGTCTTCCTCCTCACCCTCATCCCACCATTTGGGAACTTGCTGCTTAATAATCCCCTGGTTCAGGTCACTGAGAGGGAGCTGATGGCCTCTTGTCTGTTTGACTGTCTGCTTAAGGGGGACAGGGCAAAGGGCAGAGTGGGCTGACACTGCCATGGGAATAACTACAGCTGCCTTCAGAAGGAAGAAAGGAGTTTCCGTAGGGTTTTCAGGAGTGTTTTGTCTTAACCTGGGGGTTTGTATTCTCTTGTCAAGCCCAGGTCCTCTCATGGGCTCTTAGGCAGGGTTGCTTTCCCACCGTTGTTTTTTTCATTATTAGATTTTGTATAACTGAATTATGTAGTCTTCAGTACTTCTGTCTTGGGTGGAAGGCTTTTTCTGAATGGCTGAGTCTGAGTTTTCTGTAAACCAGGAGAAAGGGGGGGAGGTGAAGGTAGGCAGGAAATAGGCATTCCTTCTTAGGATTGTCCTTAAAGGACCAAAATTTAAATTTAGCTTTACTTGTGATTAAATTCAACTGTATGCACCATCAGAGGTTCAGAAGCTTATATTAAAGGTTTTTATTTGCAACATTAGTTGATTGCTTCCTCCTGCTTTAATAATTATGTGACTTTTGGAACTGTGACTCCTGTGAGATGCTCAGGCACTTTGATGACTGCCAACAGACATTGGTCCAGTTCACCTAGAGCAGTGTGGTTGGCCTGGTGCTTACCAGGAAGTCTCTGATGTAGGAAAGGCACAGCCTCAAACAGCTTCTGTTTAATGCATTTTTTAGGACTTCTCTTTGAGGTGGAAGCTTGTAGCTTTAGCAATATTGCTTGAGTATAAAGAATACATGTTTGGTTCTTTAAGATTTTGAGACCCTGAAGGTCGATGTTCTGTGTGGCCATGTACACTACGGTTTAGGATGTCTGCACTTCTGGGAATTTGAGAACATATTTTCTTTCTTTGTGTTTGGTCAACTAGAATGTAGGCTTTCTTTCACGGTCGTCTCTGAAGGACCAAATTCAGGTTTTGGGGAAAAGTTAGAATTAAATCTAGTGTTATTTGTTCATGTTCAGAAAGGAAAGTAGCAGAGGCAGAGGCGGTAGTTTTTGTAGCTTTTGTTCATTTATTTTTAGTGCTCACTAGGCTTCTTGGTTAGCTACCGCCACACTACCACTTTTGGCATTAGGTCTCAGTGAGCAGTCTAGGTTATAGTGACAGATGTGTAAAGAGAAAGGAACCAAAATTGCCTGTTGTGTAGGTTTAAGCCACCTATAAACGAAAATTGCTCCCAGACAGGTTCTTGGAACTCCAGTGTCTCTAAAGCTGTATTGTTGCTTTCTAGTGAAGCTGAATTCTGGATGTTGCTGCATGTTGTAATAAATGGAAACACATTCCATCATTTTCCAAATGCCTAGTATGACCTAATAGGAACCATAATGTCATCTTTCTCTTTTCTTGATTAGAAGTTCCTCAGATCTTTGGGGCTAATGGAGATATGTAAATGTTTAAGGTATGTAAATTATAGACAGATATTTACATAGCTTATCTATATTCTTAATTGTTACAGCTAAATTTGGGGACTGTGACAGGAATAAAATGCACTAAAGTTCTGTTTGGTTTCATATGCAGGTCACAAAATGCATTCTTATGAGCAGGGTCTTGGTTGTCTTCAGCATCCTTGGGAGTCCCCTACCTGACAAGAGAGCCTCTCTTTTGATTTCACATAAATGATTTAAGTTGCGTCTTAAAGAAAAAAAATCAGTTGCTGATGCTACCAACAGAAATTTTGTACTAAGTTAAGAGTACCCGTTGCCTTGTTTGGGATTATTGATTTCTTTATCTACTGGTAAACAGTGTCTCTGTGTGACTTCTTAAAGTGCTGTTGAAAAGTCTGGCTTGAATGATAACTATAAAACTATTGAAATTAGTAATGCATGTTAACTTTTTTAACCTAGCTTGTTTATTGTCTTGAAAGTTTTGTGAGGGAACCCCTTTAATATCCCAAACTATCACCAATTGTGTTGTTAGGACAAGCCATGTTATATGGTGGTGGGGTGGGGATGGGGTAGGGTGGGATATAGCTCTGTGGCATAGTGCATATATAGTATGCCAGAGACCCTGGATTCCACCCATAGCAATCCAGCAAATGGAAACAGGCAGGTAAACAAGGATTCTGTCAAAAGGGTATTGTGGTTTCAAATTTAATCATTTAGAGATTGAGTTTTTAATATGAAGGATTTAGTAAAGAGTTAAGTATATGGTAATTCGTACTTAAACAAGTGTTTTTATTTTTGAATATTCTTTGCTTTTATTTGGACATATATAAAACATATTATCTAGGTATATTGTGACAATAACCTATCTTGGTCTCTTGTTATGGACCTGACCTAAGGGAGTGGGAAAAGAGCTAGCTGTTTGTGGCTCTTTAGGAGGCCTTTATAGTCACTGGCTGGTGTTTGTGCTGAATTCTATGAGGTGTGAGAGTAAATAGTTGTGGAAAGCTTGACAGTCAGTATCTTCAATGACATACAAGTAGGCTCAAGAGCTAATTACATAGTTTATCTATATTGTGTCTTCCCAACTTCCCTTTCCAATGCTGGGATAGGAACATATGTATGGCTACCATGTTGTATATCTTTCTGGCTTGTTGCTTCTTCAACAATGAGACAGGGTCTCACAAAGCCAAGATTGGCCTCGAATTGCTTATGCTTCTAATTGTCACTTTGAACTCACCCTCTGCCTGTCCTCACTTCCAGCGTGTGCTTAATTCTGAGAGAAACCTTATAGCTGTAAGGTAGCAGACATGAGAGCATTGTTCAGGGTAGAGGGTGTCTGAGGTGTCTGAAATCAAATTCACCCAATCCTTGGTCAGGGGTTATATCTTCCCTTTTTAATGTTACTGAGAACTGGGCATAGTAATCCTACCAAGTGGATGGAGAAGTGATCCTTTTGTGGCCCACGAAGATTGATCTCTGGGTGTGTTGATTCTGTCAGGCCTTCAACCACAGTCTTTTGCCTTTTTGCTTGGCAAAGGGTCAGCCATGTGGGAATAGACATGCTTGAATTCTGAAAGAATCCAGACAGTTGGTGACATGGGAACCTTGCCATAGTCCTGTCGCCTCAGGATGCTTGTGAGTGTGAGAACAGTACTTCAGAGACAATAACATTCAGTGCTTTGTTTTTACTAATGGTTATTAGGGAACTGTCCAAACTACTATTCATTGAGCACCTACTGTGTACCATGGGTTTTATAGAATTTTTATATTTATTTTATGTTTTGAGACACAGTTTCATTCTGTGGCCCATGCTAGCCTTCCTTCTTCCCTTAGTTTCTTGAGTGCTGGTGTTATGTGTGCCACCATGTGTGAGCTATCTGTTCTTTACTGCAGCCCTGTGAGGTAGCCAGTAATATAGGTCAGAAAATCAAGAATGTAACAGCGTGCAGTTAGTAGAGTACTGGAAAGATGAACTTTGACATGAGTGCCTAACTGGCTTCAAGGAATCTGGTTTTAGAAGAATCTTCTTATTCCAAGATACACTGGCTAACTAACTGATGGACACGTCCCAAACACAAATAGTAATTATCTTTTTATTTGATTCACCCTAGACTACTCTTCAGGATTAAGACTGCTATTTTATAGATGTGGGAATTGTAGAGCATTGTGGTGGCAGGAGTGTGCCCTCATCTGTTATGTTTTGAACATAAGTGATGGTAACCCTGCACAGATCAGTCTAAGCAGCCCATATTAAAGAGTCACACATGCCCATCCTGCTTTGTGACTGTTCCAGTCTTACCTCTAGCCTGAAACCAGTTCTCAAAAAAGGCAGTTTTTGCAGGTGGCACCTCATGCAACTAGATACAGAGAAAGGAAGGATTCTCTCCAATCTCTATGTATACAGGCAAAGTGGCCTGGGTGCTTTCATATACTTCCCTTGCATCTTGGGACTGGTGCTGTACTGTGGCTAAGGCATTGCCTCTCACCCAGGCCCAGGACTTCCCCTAGGGTTTGTGGTAGTCCTTACTGAAGGAGAGGTAGGGAAGAGGACTGTGGTACCTAAGGGTGGCTCAGGGCCCAAGAGCTCTAGCACAATAGTTTTAATTCTAGCTTCTTTAATTTCTTACCACCTGTCTGTGGGCACATTACCAATGAGGGTCCTCCTGGGGTCCTCCTAGTGGGTGCATTGCATATGGGATCCTAAGTTAAGGGTGTATGTGGTGTGTCTTCACAGGGCTGTGTGTGTGTGTGTGTGTGTGTGTGTGTGTGTGTGTATGAGAGAGAGAGAGAGAGAGATGGGGGAGGGAGGGAAAGAGGGAGAAGGAGGGAGATCATACTTTGCTTTTAGATTCAAAGTGATCCTGTATTAAGGAGATTGGATCATGGACATCTAAGCCCTATGGTTACTGGAGTCTGTTTCATGTTTTACGATGCTCCGGCTGGGTTTTATCTTTCTTA